TTATTTTTAATCACTCCCAGTAGTTGAGGGTGTGCCAAGACCTGTCAGTGTCCCAAAGGGGAGGATCTCAGTGAGCACCTAGGTTCAAGCTGATTGGAAGCCAGAGCTCAGGCTGCAGCTTTTAAAGTATGCAAGTATACACAGTCCTGTGGGACTGTAAGTGTAAGCCCTCCTGGCCACCAGAGCTAGGTGCTATGTAGGTGTCCCTAGGGCAGCAGTTGCAAAAATTGAGGCTCCAGACAAGTGTATATGCTCCTTTCTGGGATATGCCAGTGAGCTGTAGCAAGGCAGAGGGAGAATGCAAAGACGATGTTCACCAGCCTAAGTTCTTTGAAAGTATCTCCATAAGCCTCTAGATGTTTGCCAAACCTGAAGCCTACCCCTCAAGCCGAAGCTCCAGGACAAGCAAATAGACCTCTTTCACAGAATGATTGAGAGTGTGTTTCAGTCTGCTGTCTGTGCAGTGCCCTGGGAGGTTGTAGTGTGCCAAGAATTCTCTCTCTGTTTGTTACAGTCCCATGGGACCCAGGAACACAATCTCCCCTGGCATCTAGAGCCAGGCAATCAAAGTGAATCCCCTGGCAGCAACCTCAAAAACTGGGACACCAGATGCATGTAATAGCTCCCCTCTGGAAAATACTGGCACTCTGAAGCACAGCAGAGGGAAAGTATGAAATTGGCACCAACTGACTGGAGTGAGGCAAAGGCAGAGTGTAAAGATGGTGCCCACTGTGGGAGAGGAAGATGGTACAAGCCCGTTAAGAGCCATTTCTCAGTTTGCTATAGCCTTGTGGGTCTTATGGATAAGAGATCTGTTGGTTTTCAAAGCTAATTTTTGGAGGCTTATCTTTCAGGTGCAGGTCTTAAAAGTTGGGGTGCCCAAGGTGAGGTTCAAACCCTTCACTCTTCAAGGAGAAGTTCCAGGTTTTGAGTTCCCTCCTGAATGTGGATCATGGTGCTGGGGATGGGGTTTATGGGGACATTGTGTCTCAGCCTCTCCTACCCACTTTGATGTGATTTTCTTCTTATTTGACCAGTGTGTAGGACTTGCTTATCTAGTTTTTTGGTCTTTTCAGAGGAAATTATTCCATATGTAGCTGTAGATTTGGTGTGTCTGTGGGAGGAGATAAGTTCAGGATCTTCCTACGTCACCATCTTGAACTGGAACCAGAGCTGAATACTCTTAAATAACACAGCAAACGTATATACTACAACAAAATAGTACATTTCAGCAAGAAATTATTTGCAGAATAAATTTAAGAATCCAAGTGACCCAACTGTCCATTTAGTTGGTTACTCCACTGATACCTCTGTGGTCTATTTGTATTTCTACTAGACATGCTACATGAATGCTGGCAGCAGGGCTGGGATGGGAGGGGAAAGGGGATTGGATAAAGAGAAATTACTAAATTAGTAGCTAAGACAGATATAGTTTTCACCAACGTATAGGGCCATTATTTTTAAATGATTATTCAGATATCTATGGGGAAATATGCACCATTAACATATGTTGATATTTCAAACAAGTTCCAGCAAAGAAATTTTTCAGAATCCTTCTCCTTGGTCTATATCAAAAGCTGAAGATATTAAAGACTTTCTCACAATCTGTATTTTCATTCTAAGACGGCTCCTCAGAAATCTCTAGTAACTAGATTCTCTTCGTTAGTACTTAGGAGGTGGAGTTTATGAAACTACCTACCACTTAGTTCCTCTCCTCTTTCATGTAGCCCATCTTTCCATAAAGGCCATAGTCCTCAACTGTGTGGACTGAAGATAGGATTAAGGATTAGGGCAGAGCAAGAGCTGTCAACTTGGCTCTTTGAACCTGGAGAGTTCTGAGCTCGGTTCTCCTTTCTGCACTGGCCTTATTCACTCTTATAGACTTGTATAGACACTCATTCTCCACCACAAATAAGCACTGGCCTTTATAGTCCCCTCCCTTGCCCCTGCTCCTTATCCCACTCCAGACATCCAGCAAGTGAGCAACCTAGCCCAGTGTTTTGCCCAGAATAAAGCTCTGTAGATGTTATTATATTCCTTATAATTTATGTAATCTATAAAACAACTGGATCTTGAAGAGTACCTTTATTCATGTGGATAATTTCCATCTCAGATAAATTCTGGGGAATATCTGCAATTTTAATATCTCTTACCTACCTCTGATCTATCTCCTACTTTACATGCAGTAAATATGTCAAGCAGATCAAATAACACATTTCAGCAAATCCAGGGAGTGTAAAGTTAGTACCACTTCACCCTCTACCCTGCCATATAGATTAGCTTTATTACTGTCTGAAAATAGCATTTACAAGCTCAACAAGGCAAATGAAAAAAAACTTAGTGGAATATTTGTAGCACCATTTTCAGTCTGATGGGTTTCCTCTCATCTCTGTATGCTTATATGGCTTTGATCTCTTAAGTTCTTCTGTTAATAAATCAAATACCAGCAACAGTCAAATAAAACTGTTACACAGCTAGTCCCATTTCAGTATGACTTAAATAAGGGTTTTCCCAACTTTCTTGTGTATATGAATCACTTGGGGATCCTGTAAACTGAAGATTGTGATTCAGTGGTTCTGGGATAGGACCTGAGAGTGCATTTTTAACAAGTCCCCAGTCTATGCTGAGGCTGCTGGCTCAGGTTTCACACAACTAAAGAAAAAAGATTTTAAAACATTTACATTTGTCCTAGCTATGTTACAGTTCCCCTTCATGAGTGTGTAGAATGAAACATTTCTGAAATGTGTAGACATAAGTTTACTAGCATCTGAGAATAGCTGGGAAAAGAAAATAGGTGTAACATGTAAATAACTTATGAATAGATGATAACCGCTAATGTAAAATTATACTAAATATCAAACATTGAAGCCAAATACATTAAAAAATTAAAAGCAATTTTTCTAATAATGGAAGTATTTATTTTCACAAATATTTTAAAATGTAGCTATCTTTGAGCCACAAAAGAAAAAAGCAGAACAAATACATGTTCCTGTATTTGATATAAATATACAACACTAACTCAGTTTTAGTTTGTTAGCTCAGCTCACTGCGAATAACTCAGGAAAACCAATCATAGGTAATTCTGTTGGTATATGTAGAAAAACACAATGAATGGTGATCATTTAAATAGAGTTCAAAGTCCATTTAGAATGGTAGATAGGCCAGAAGGGGCGGGCAAAGAGAGAACAGCCACAGCGTCCGTAACACGCTGGACTTCAACCAGAAAACTGAAGTGTCTGTTGGAACACACCTAAAACACACTCCAGCTGGAAAGATAATTACTGTGTAGTTCAGATGTTGATAATGGGTTAAAAGATTGACAGATTATTGCACTTGTGCAAATCTAAACACAAATATCCAGCACTTTCACACAGTGAATTTTCAGGGATAACCAATTCGTCCATAGCTACGTTTTTTCCTGAAATGATACTCTCTTTACCTCTTTCTGAGAACTGAAAGCTATATATATAGATTGTTCTCTCTTCATACACTTGTCAGCAACAATAAGCATTAACCCATTTTCAGATACTACAGATTGTCTAATGCATGTTAACCCCTTTACAGATGCTATAGATTTTCAGACTTACGTTATGAACAACAACTATATTTTTTGTGCTTCTTAAACATAGTTTGGGATGAAAACATGCCTCTCTACCAAATGGTGCAGTTTTTCTATGGAATAAAGTGTACAAATTCATCCATGTATACTTACAAGTATTCAAATGTTTACCCTCCCTGAACACCATACACTTTCTCTAGGGCAAAACAACTTACACATCTAACACATTCCCAAAAGTGCCCCCCTCCCACCTCAGTGCATGTGTGTGCATGCACACACACGTGCACACACACATAGACAGCTAAATCTGTTTTTTATATAAAAAATCTACCTCCCATTCTTTAGAGAAACTATTATTTTTCCTACTGGATATTTTTAATATAATCCACTTATCTTTGTGTATGGATTATCTTTCTTCTTGCATATATTATTTTATAGAATTTAGAGAAAAATGGTGAAGAATGATAAAGATTAGAATATAAATGTATTTAGTTAAGTAATACTAATGAGACATAAGTCAAAAGCTTTTCCCTGATACCTAAATACTATGAGAGGTATTTCAGTGTGAAGATTTTAAAACGTGAGTCATTGATTGGATATACAGATCTCACGTGAGGTGGATATGTATTTCCTCACTCAATTCTTTTGAAGAGTTTCTACTTTAGTTCTTGAACGAAAGAGGGCTGAACTGTGTAAAGAAATTTCCTTCGTATTTCTCTTAGATCAACATGTCTGTCTATAAATATCCTAATGCAAAGAGAGTAGATTTTTCTCTTAATTATCAGAAGATGATGTCTAGAATCTCATCTTACATGGCAATATCTTTCTTTCTTACAGGGATATTTTTTCCCCCTCCCAATTAAATGGAAAGATGCTAAATCAGTATGCTTTGAGTAGCTTCAGATTTTCAAGAGATCCTTCCAAACTGGTGGTTGTCTCGGTTTGGGGTTTTCAATATTTACCCTGGCAGCTAACATGAGGACACCAAGTTATTCTTAATTTTAGTATCCAAACAAACCAGTTGCTAATACTTTGTTCCATAAACCTCTGTGTATAAAACACAAGACAGAATGTGGCCCATCTTTCCTTTCTATGAGAAGCTTTTTAGAAGGACTAGTGCTCTCTGCAATAAGTGAACCCTGCTAAAGAAAGCAGGATTATCTAATAATAAATGTCTCCTAATAAAAAGGAAAGATCCTTCACAGTCTAGAATTTAAGTCCTGCTGCTATAAAGGATGAAAGCAAATATGTTTTTGCTTTTCCTCCAGTTGTCTTGAAAAATTAGCCTGGAAGAAAGTGGTCAAGATTGAATTCAGAAAGAATATTTCAGAAGGAAATACGGATTCGTAAAGAAATATGAATTCAGATAGAATACTTCAGATGGAAAATTAGGGTAAACAAACATTTCATGAGGCAATAGGAACTAGGCAAGGCATAGGAATTTAAGGAAGAACATCTTTTAATAGCTGAAACCAGTCTTTCTGAAGTGATTTATGAAAGCAAGAAATATTGCAACAAATAACCATTAATGCACATTCTACTCTTGGTAATCTTCCATACAATAATTCCTTTATTATCATGTACATCTCTTAATACTAGCACAGCATTCTGAAGTTGCCAAGCATAAGTTGTAGGTATCTGAGTAGGAAGATCAAAAGCTACTCAGATTTCCAGAAGAGCTGCAGAAAGTGGAAAATGACAAAGTCCTTAAACATAAAGAGCTAAAAATGATGTCCATTTGCTAATCCATGACGAAAATAGAAGCCCATATTGTTATAAAGAACACGGTTATAACGCTTGCTGTTTCTGTACAAAGGATTCCACAGAGAAAGAAACTTATGTGTAAGAAATAGCTCATAGGCCAATAATTTATTTTCCATTCTTAACTGTCGTTCAAAATAGTTGATGCTCATGAAGTGCAATGTACTGACAGTCCTGGGGTCCAATGGTCTGACAGGTCTGTTGCAACTGAACAGGGATGTTGCAGAGGCCATGCCGAGGGTGATGGTGTTTTCCCCTTGATGAGGAAGACAAGTTCAGGGTCCAGGATTTGTTTAGAACATCTACTCCTCTGCTGAATTTGCCACCAGGGAACCAATAAGTGAATCAGTACCAAATAAAAATATTTGGATCATTCTTCAGCCAGGTCTGTAGAAAATGAAATCAATTTGATTGTATACAAGATGAATTTTAAAAAGCGCTTTTTTTGTTCAAAGTATGGATTTTAATGACATCTTAGTAATCCTTTAGAAATGTGCTGCTGCTTAGTGCAAAAAAAAAAAAAAAGTCCCACCGTTTCTTCAACTACAAGATAAGGTGTGTTTTGCAAAAATAAAGCATATTAAATCTTCATTTTGTAGGTCAATGTTCACAAAGGTCCTGTTGTAGCTGGTGCATAAATATAAAAGACTCATTTGTTGCCTGGAAAATAGAAGAAATGTTACTACTCATCAGAAATCAGTGGAAAGATAAAATGAGTAATACTCAAAATCTATATATCCAAGATATCATATTTTCTATTATTTAGCCCAATTTCTCAAGCCCCAGAGACAAGTTCTCTGATAGACTTCATGAGTAATGCAATCATGTTCCCGTTCAAGAATACATGGAAGGCTGCTCCAGAAGTCTCAAGAGCTGCACAGAGCCAGATAAGGAGTGGTAGCTAATGAAATCTGCTCTGGATGAGCCTTTCCACTCTTTGCTGTCCCTTCAGACCATCTTCCATTTAGAGGTACATGTACTACTGCTTTTGAAAGGACTATTGGCTTATTCTCTCTGTGATCCATTCAGTAGAACCACACTTTAGCTCCACCATCTTATACTTTATTTCATCTTGCACATCCATCTCCTTACCTTTTCAATTGTTTATAAACCTGCCCAAAGGCATGATTTTTATGCTATTCAAAATTGAGGTTCATTTAAGGAAATCTGTATCTGTGATTCTTCTAAATCTAGTAAATCAAGTACATAGAAAAATTCTCTTCTCTACTTGTAGAGTAGAAAAGAAAGAAAAAAAAGATAGTTTTATAAAGAGCAGTAACTTTTCCTTATAACAGTCAAATGTGTAAGCAAAACTAATATACTTGTTGACAAAGACACTCTGGAAATCTTTCAGTTCTTTACCTTAATTTAGCCATGTATGGATGCAAGGAATCTGACATTCAGGGATCATTAAGCAGTGATGAAATTTATCATGTAATTTTAATAGAGAATAATACAGAAAAATTTTTACAACAACTACTATACTTCCTTTTGAAAAGTATACTTTCCCACTAGAACAAGTTGTTTGTTGTATTTTGGCTTTTCAGTGGATGATCTTTTCTGTTATATAAATGGTCATATGAATTACTTTGTTTAATCATAACTTATTTGTTTGTTACTGGACTAATGATAGGTCTTAAAGGTAATGCAATATTTCCTTTATTTATTATAACGTGAATAAATTAGGTTAGCATTTTGAACACATTGTGTCCAAATAGATTGTAGTCAGAATTGTGCGATCTTCTTTCCAATGAACAAATAGTGGCAGAAATAATCAGAATAAAAGATTGAGTTGCTTTCCTAGACACAAGCTATTTATCTCACAAAAAAGAAATATTGGTCTTAAAATTCCACTTTATTTTTTTTTTAATCTTAAATTTGATTGATTCACACTTTGAAAATGGACAATTTTGCACTGTTAATGTCCCCAGAAATTGGAAACTCATGAAACTGTATTAGGGTTTAGATGTGATAATTCATGTAAAATATTTAGTATGATCTTGGCATATAGTAAAAGCTCAATAGTTATCAGTGGCAGCTCCAGAATTTCCATATAAGACAGCTTAGAGTCAACAGTCTGATTGGAAGTACAGTAAAAAGACTTGTTTTGAAGTTGTGATTTTCATAGCAAATATGTTGCTTTTATTTCGGGATTTTTTTTTTTTTTTGAGGTGCCTGGGAAGGAAGAGCTGATGGAAACTATGGGGAAGTGGAAAATCCTCCCCACACCTGTGCCACCTGTGATTATTAAAGAAAGTTTCCATTTAAGAAAGATAGGGTCAGGCATTCATTCCTTTTTACGTAAAAGGGGGCACAGGCACTAATATCTAAAACACAGAGACCTGAAGAACCTCTACAGTTTTGCCAAAACTCAAATCTTGTCCACATTTACCAGATTTTTTTCTTCAAATTCTGAGTAATTTGGTTTTACTGTGTTGGACACTGTTTTCTCCTATTCTCTTGTACTCTTATATTCAAATTTTAGCTTATGAATTTTAATTGTTCATCAAGGTTCCACATAAAACATCTAGGGTGCACACTCTGATTTTGGACAATGCATAGCCAAGATGTCTGTATGCAACAATCCTGTTTTTCTATTACATCAATGTTTATTTTTTAAATAGCATATTTTTATCTTATTTTCTCTAACATTTATTATTGAGTTTTTAGTTCTCTTATTAATTTGAAGCTCCCTAAATATCTACCATTTTACATTTTACATACCCTTTCCTAGCAAATGATTAATTAATTATTTGTGATTTTTAGAATAATTAACTAGCTAGAAATAATTGAGAAATGAAAAGTCAGAATTTTGCACAAAAGCTATATATGTACTAATTTTTCAAAAGTGACAATTTCATCTTTTATCCCATTCTTCACAGAATGAAAGATGTAATGTATTAATCTGCTTGATAGTTATAGGCCTTATTTACTCATTCAGTCTTCATTTATGTCTTAATTTACATTAAGAATCTCAAAACTTCAAGGATATAATATAAAACAATAGTAGGCTAGACATGTCTGGAAATATTTGCAGCCTAATTTATAACTCCTCTTTGATAAAATGAAAACAAGTAATATATAAACTAATGTTACTGAAGCAATAGATTTTTTTGGTATGTACTTACCTATTTTTCTCTCTTTGATCTGCATGCACAGTATGAAATCATAAAAGCAACAAACATCACCACACCAACACTGAGCAAGATCATTTCTATCAGGCCAAGGAGGCTTACTTTTCCAGTCACTTGACTTCTGAACATGTTTGCCTTCTCATCACCAATGGTACCAGTCTGTAATCAAGTTAATTATTAGCATTATTTGAGTAGATTAGTGGTACAAAATAGCATATTTTCATCTTATTTTCTCTAACATTTATTATTGAGTTTTTAGTTCTCTTATTAATTTCAATTTCTTGGTTAAGTTTCTTGATTTTTGTTCCCTGTAATGAATCATTTAAATTTTAATATGGCTGTTTCTCAGACATCTTTCACTCTTATAAACCTTTATAATTCAGATTTCTAATTAGATTAACTTTTTCTAAGCACACATTTTCCTTTTCAACAAATTCTACCCAGGAAAGTAAAATATGAATTCTAGAAACTATTGTCAGGGAAATATTTGGATAGCTAGCAAAATGAGATACCACCAAATACTCAAATTAAAAAACATTCCAGAGCATCATGGCAGAGTGAGCTCTCCCCGTAGACTCTCCCTTGATAAGATACAACAAAAAGGACATTCGCATACCAACAAAGGACACTCACACAACACAAAAAATGTCTGAGAGACCCACGCAGACATACATCTGAAGAAGAAGGTGCTGGAACCCCCAGAGGAAGTGGGGAAAGGTAAGGAGATATCCTCCTCCTCCCCATTCGGTTGGCAACTTTGGGTCCGCACGGCTCCCAGAGAGAGAGGGGAAAGGGGCAGCCCTCTGCAGGAAAACCATCGCTCTCCAAGTTCTCTCACAGCCTGTGGGAAAATCCCAAATGGAGGAGACGGAACTGTTGTGGGGGTGCTGTCAACATCTGAGCACCCCAGGAGAGCAGATAGCGAGGGAAGAATGAGAAGGCCCTGGGATTGGGCAGGCGAAAGAGCCCCTCCCCTCCACACACCCAGCGCTGCACAACTGATCAGCCTGAGAGCCCCCAGATCACAGCCAGCTCAGAATACACAGCTCTTGACCCCCACCCAGTGGTAGCAGGTGGAAACTGAAACCAGATAATTTTAGGATAAGGAAAACCAAGCCAGCACCAGCAGGCATGATACAAAAATAATATTAAATCTTCAGACCTGAAGGAAAATGACGAGCACACAGAAAATCAACCCTCAAGGCACAGAAATATATAACCTAAATGACAGAGAATTCAATATAGCTATCATAAAAAAGCTCAATAAATTACAAGTACAGATAGACAATTCAATGAAATCAGGAATTTCTTCAAAAAAGAGATTGAAACCATAAAGAAAAACCAATCAGAAACATTGGAGATGAAAAACACAATGGAGGAGATAAGGGAAAATCTGGAATCTTTAAAGAACAGAGCTGACAATATGGAGGAAAGAATTAGCATTATTGAGGATAGGAATGCAGAAATTCTCCAGATAGAGGAAGAGAGAGAACTAAGACTAAAAAAAAAAATGAAGAAATTCTCCGAGAAATATCCAACTCAATTAGGAAATGCAACATAAGGATTATAGGTATTCCTGAGGGAGAAGAGAGGGGGAAAAAGGAACAGAGAGCTTGTTAAAGGAAATAATAGCTGAGAACTTCCCAAATCTGGGGAAGGAGCTGGAAATACCAGTGAATGAAGTTAATAGAGGCCTAAATATATCAACAGGAAAAGACCCTCTCCAAAGCATATAGTGGTAAAGCTGGCAAAAGCCAGTGACAAAGAAACAATATTAAGAGGAGATAGACAAAAAAAAATTAACATACAAAGAAATTCCCATCAGGCTCTCAGCAGCTTTCTCAACAGAAACTTTATAGGCTAGGAGAGACTGGAGTGATATATTCAAAATTCTGAAAGACAAAAAACTTTCAGCCAAGAATACTCTATCCAGTGAAAATATCCTTCAGATGTGATGGAGAAATATAACTTTCCCAGATAAACAAAAGCTAAGGGAGTTCATTGCCATGAGACCTCCACTACAAGAAATGCTCAAAAAGGCCCTCATGCCTGGAAAAAAAAACAAAACAGAAAGAGGATACAAAGCTTCGAGCAAGAAGAAAAATACGTAGACAAAATCAGAAAAATTGCAACTCTCTATCAGAGTAGGTTAGCAAACACTTAATTATAAAAAGTAAAGATTGGGCCAGCCCTGTGGCATAGCGGTTAAGTGCATGCGCTCTGCTGCTGGCGGCCCGGGTTTGGATCCCAGGTGCGCATGGATGCAGAGCTTGTCAGGCCGTGCTGCGGCGGCGTCCCACATAAAGTGGAGGAAGATCAGCACGGATGTTAGCTCAGGGCCAGTCTTCCTCAGCAAAAAGAGGAGGATTGACATGGATGTTAGCTCAGGGCTGACCTTCCTCACAAAAAAAAAAAAAAAAGTAAAGATTAAGGGAAGGAAAACACCAAAAATTAATATAACCTCATCACTTTAAACACACACTCACAACACAAGATGGAATAAGTTGTGACACCAATAACTTAGAAGGGGAAGAGGAAAGGAGTCAAATTGACTTAGTCGAAGGAAATAAGAGGTCATCAGCTAATGGACTATCTCATCCATGAGATTTTTTATACAAATCTCAAGGTAAGCACTAAACAAATAATCAGAACAGAGTCACATACAATAAATAAAGAGAAAACTAAAAGAATTATCATACAGAACTACCAAACTAATTGGTAGTCTGAAACACACGGGATGAGAATCAAAGGAAATTCAAAAGAACCAGAAAATGAGTGAAAAAATAGCAACATTAAGCCCTCATATATCAATAATCACTCTAAATGTAAATGGATTAAATTCTGCAATCAAAAGACACAGAGTGGTGGGATGGATTGAAAAGCAAGACCCAACAATATGCTGCCTTCAGGAAACACATCTCAGCTCTGAAGACAAACATAGGCTCAGAGTGGAAGGATGGAAGAAAATACTCCAAGCTAATGCAAACAAAAGAAAGCAGGTGTTGCCATACTTATGTCAGATAAAGTAGACTCCAAGATAAAACAGGTAATGAGAGACAAAGAGGGGCAATATATAATGATAAAAGGGACACTCTACCAAGAAGACATACCAATTATAAAAATATATGCACCCAACACAGGAGCGCCAAAGTACATAAAACAACTATTAAAAAACCTAAAAGGAGATATTAACAACAACACAATAATAATACGGGATCTTAACACCCCATTTACATCAATGGATAGATCATCCAGACAAAAAGTCAATAAGGAAATAGTGGACTTAATAGACTTATACAGAGCACTCCATCCAAAAACAGCAGACTACACATTCTTCTCAAGTGCACATGGAAAATTCTCAAGGATAGACCATGTGTTGGGAAACAAGGGAAGCCTCTATAAATATAAGACTGAAATCATAAAAAGCATCATTTCCAACCATAATGCTATGAAACTAGAAATCAACTATAAGAAGATAACTGGGAAAGTGACAAAGATGTGGAAATTAAACAACATGCTACTGTACAACCAATGGATCATTGATGAAATTAAAGGAGAAATCAAAAAATCTCTGGAGACAAATGAAAATGAAAATACACCATACCAACTCATATGGGATGCAGCAAAAATGGTCCTGAGAGGGAAACTCATAGCAATACAGGCCTACCCTCACAAATAAGAAAATTTTCAAATAAACAACCTTAAACTACACCTAACAGAACTAGAAAAAGAACATACAAAGCCCAAAGTCAGCAGAAGGAAGGAAATAATAAAAATCAGAGCAGAAATAAATGAAATTCAAACCAAAAAAACAGCAGAAAGGATCAATGAAACAAAGAGTTGGTTCTTTGAGAAGATAAACAAAATTGACAAACCATTAGCCAAACTCACTAAGAAAAAAAGAGAGAAGGCTCAAATAAATAAAATTATAAGTGAAAGAGGAGAAATTACAATAGATACCACAGAAATACAAAGGATCATAAGATAATACTATGAAAAACTGTATGCCAACAAATTGCACAATCTAGAAGAAATGGATAAATTCCTAGACTCATACAACCTCCCAAAATTGAACCAAGAAGAAATAGAGAATCTGAACAGACCAATCACAAGTAGAGATTGGAAACAGTAATCAAAAACCTCCCAAAAAATACAAGTCCAGGGCCAGTTGGCTTCTCCGGAGAATTTCACCAAACATTCAAAGAAGACTTAGTACCTATCCTTGTCAAACTATTCCAAAAAATAGAGGAAGATGGAACACTTCCTAACACATTCTACAAGGCCAACATCACCCTGATACCAGAGCTAGAGAAGGACAATACAAAGAAGGAAAACTACAGGCCAATATTGCTGATCACATAGATGCAAAAATCCTCAACAAAATATTGGCAAATCGAATACAGCAATATATTAAAAAGGTCATACACCACGATCAAGTGGGATTTATACCAGGGACACAGGGATGGTTCAACATCTGCAAATCAATCAATGTGATACACCATATTAACAAAATGAGGAAAAAAAACACATGATCATCTCAAGAGATGCAGAGAAGGCATTTGACAAGATCCAACATCCATTTACAATAAAAACTCTCAATAAAATGGGTATAGAAGGAAAGTACCTCAACATAATAAAGGCCATATATGACATATCCACAGCAAACATCATACTCAATGGGGAAAAACTGAAAGCCATTCCTCTGAGAACAGGAACAAGACAAGTGTGCCCACTCTCACCACTCTTATTCAACATAGTACTGGAGGTTTTGGCCAGAGCAATTAGGCAAGAAAAAGGAATAAAAGGAATCCAAATAGGCAACAAAAAAGTGAAACTCTATTTGCAAATGACTTGATATTACATATAGAAAACCCTAAAGAATCCATCAGAAAACTATTAGAAATAATCAACAACTACAGCAAAGTTGCAGGGTACAAAATCAACTTACAATAATCAGTTGCATTTCTATATGCTAATAATGAACCAACAGAAAGAGAATTCAAAAAGATAACCCCATCTACCATCACAACAAAAAGAATAAAATATCTAGGAATAAATTTAACCAAGGAGGTGAAAGACCTATACAATGAAAACTACAAGACGTTGTTGAAAGAAATTGCTGATGACGTAAAGAAATGGAAAAATATCCCATGCACGTAGATTGGAAGAAGAAACAGTTAAAATGTCCATATTACCTAAAGCAATCTACAGAGTCAATGCTATCCCAATCAGAATCCCAACGACATTCTTCACGGAAATAGAACAAAGAATACTAAAATTCATATGGGGCAACAAAAGACCGAATAGCTAAAGAAATCCTGAGAAAAAGGAACAAAGCTGGAGGCATCACAATCGCTGACTTCAAAGTATACTACAAAGCAATAGTAATCAAAACAGAGTGGTACTGGGGCCAGCCAGGTGGCACAAGCGGTTGGGTGTGCGCGCTCTGCTGCGGTGGCCTGGGGTTCGCTGGTTCAGATCCCGGGCGCACACTGACGCACCGCTTGGCAAGCCATGCTGTGTTGGCGTCCCATATAAAATGGAGGAAAATGGGCACGGATGTTAGCCCAGGGTCAGTCTTCCTCAGCAAAAAAAGAGAATTGGCAGATGTTAGCACAGGGCTGATCTTCCTCACACACACACACACACACACACACACACAAAAAGAGTGGTACTGGTACAAAAACAGACACACAGATCAATGGAACAGAATTGAAAACCCAGAAATAAAACTACACATCTATGGACAGCTAATCTTCGACAAAGGAGCTAAAAACATACAATGGAGAAAGGAAAGTCTCTTCAATAAATGGGGCTGAGAAAACTGGACAGCTACATGCAAAAGAATGAAAGTAGACCATCTTCTTTCGCCATACACAAAAAGCAACTCAAAATATATCAGAGACCTGAAATTATAAAACTCCTGGAAGAAAATATAGGCAGTACACTATCTGAGATTGGTCATAAAAGGATCTTTCTGGATTCCATGTCTACTCGGACAAGGGAAACAAAAGAAAAAATAAACAAGTGGGGCTTCATCAGATTAAAGAGCTTCTACAAAGCAAGTGAAACTAGGATCAAAATGAATAGATAACCCACCAGCTGGGAGAAAATATTTGCAAATCATATATCCGACAAGGGGTTAATGTCCATAATATATAAAGAACTCACACAACTGAACAACAAAAAAACAAACAACCCGATCAAAAAATGGGCAAAGGATATGAACAGATACTTTCCCAAGGAAGATATACAAATGGCCCCAATAGGCATATGAAAATATGTTCAACATCACTAATCATCAGGGAAATGCAAATCAAAACTATAGTAAGATATCACCTTACACCCGTTAGAATGGCTATAATCACCAAGACAAGTAACAACAAATGTTCGAAAGATTGTGGACAAATGGGAACCCTAATTCACTGCTGGTGGGAATGCAAACTGGTACAGCCTCTATGGAAAATGTATGGAGCTTCCTCAAAAAATTAAAAATAGAAATACCTTATGATCAGAAATACCTATGATCCAGCTATCCCACTACTGGGTATCTATCCAATGAACCTGAAATCAACAATCCAAAGAGGTTTGTGCACCCCTATGTTCATTGCAGCATTGTTCACTATAGCCAAGAAGTAGAAGCAACCCAAGCATCCCTTGACTGATGAATGGATAAAAAAGATGTGGTATATATATACAATGGACTACTACTCAGCCATAAAAAAGACAAAATTGTCCCATTTGCAACAACATGGATGGACCTGGAGGGTATGATGTTAAGTGAAATAAGCCAGAGAGAGAAAGACCAACACTGCATGATTTCACCCATATGTGGAAGATAAACTAACACATGGACAGAGAGAACTGTTTGGTGGTCACCAGGGGCAAAGGGGTTGGGGGGTGGGCACAAGGGGTGAAGGGAGGCGTTTATATGGTGACTAACAAACAGTAATGTACAACTAAAAGTTCACAATCTTATAAACTATTAAGACATCAATAAAAAAAATTCCAAAATATGTGTAAATACCATTTCAGTAACACTAGATACAAAACCTCCACTTGTATCACTCAGTTCTCCAAACACCTGTGTAGGTGTTAGTCTACTATATCTATAAGATAAGCCAATGGAATTCCCTTTGCATGTCAAAGAAGGCAATAAATGACAAGATAGGATATTTAGAAAGTAAACTATAATCCTCCTCCCTTTAAACATGTTATACAGCACTCTTCAGTATACTAGCCTTTATTGATCTTTTGAACAGTCTTACTGAAATATTTCACAGTTTTCCAAAGGATGTTTCCTAGTGACAGAAGGAAATGGCAAGAGTCAGCAGCTTCAATTCCTCTAGAGGCTTATGTAACGCATTTCCTAATTCTGTGGCTAATTGATTCCATGGTTTATAGCACAAATATCTTGTCAGGCAATAGGATAGACTGCCTGCACCTGCTCTAACTTGCCCTTCATAAGCTTGGTCGGCTTCTATTAGCACTACAATATTCAGTGAGTCTGGAGTTATTTGGAGCTACACATATGCACGACTCTTTCCTAACAAGCACTACAACAAGAAAAAAGTGTCTAAGGGATGCATTTTGAAAATAATCTAAAATTATAGGAAGCACTTTGTCTTTCTAAAAGAAAAACACTGAAAACTAACACAAACTTGATAATTAATAATTTATAAACTCACCCATATGGGCACTGGAAACACATACAACTTCAAGTACTATATATATATATTCAATTTTAAAACATCAAAAACTTTTTTTATATACAAAAGAAGTTTACTGGTTTTCATGACTAATAGATAAAAATACTAACCTCGTTAAGCCAAAGAATAGGCACAATATAGTTCTGCTTCAACTTCTTTAATGCTCTGTAATGTACATTGGAAGTAATTGTGAAAATATATTACACATATATAACAAAGCTTAGTAATAACTAGTGTAAATAACTGTTGAGAAATTAGTTGCTCTTGCAACTTGGTTAAGTTTCATGATTTTTGTTTCCTGTAATGAATCATTTAAATTTTCATATGGCTGTTTCTCAGACATCTTTCACTCTTATAAACCTTTATAACTCAGATTTCTAATTAGATTGACTTTTTCTAAGCACAGATTTTCCGTTTCAACAAATTCTACCCAGAAAAGTAAACTATGAATTCTAGAAACTATTGTCATAGAAATATTTGGATAGCTAGCAAAATGAGATGCCATCAAATACTCAAATTAAAAAACATTCCAAAATATGTGTAAATACCATTTCAGTGACACTAGATATAATTCTAAATTACAAATAAAAGTTATCCTAAGCATGTAATAATGATTATTTAATATAAGTCAAAAAGAAGTTGAAATTTTATATTCTTCCCACTTACTTTCATAGATTTACTCAGATTCTTACAAGAAAATACTAAATCTCACATAATGATAACCTTGGTCAAGACACTTACTCAATTTTCTTCGCGGGCTTGACCAACATGTTGACCTGCAGCCGTTTTGCAAATCGTAAAGTGAATCCAGTTATCTAAAAAGAGAACAGACCAAAATAATTACCAACTTCTTTTTAAAACACTCCTTTATAATATACGAAACTTAATTTTACTGTTGTATAGAACTTAAGGTGAAACTGTACTACTTGAAACTTGTGAAATTTATTAATTAATTGAACATATTAAATATATTACATACATAACTATCCATAGTTACCTTGTGTGTATACACACACACACATGCATATATATATATACACACCTGCATATAAATGCATATACACAATTTCTTGGCCTAGACTAATGTCAAGGTTTTAGTTAGATTTGTGATATTTACCAGAAATGGTTTTGGGGAATAACAACAACAACAGGACTAAAATGTAAGAGCTCATATGGTTAATTTAATTCCTGAACCATGTGTAGTCAAATCCATGTATTGTCAGTTTAATTATACTACTACTCCTATCATTATTTAAACTGAAACATGACTATGAAAATGCTGGCATTTGTTTTAACTTTTGAAAAGGAGAGTGTTAAAATAATTTAAAAGTTGAAACTGTTGCACTATAGGAATTTTTGTAGATTTTCCTTGACACTAACTATAATAGATCTTGCTTCAGATTCACATATACTCATAAAATCTCTTTAAATTGCTCATAACAGTGTCTTTTCATATAAACAACACTTGCAGTTCAGTATAAAATAAGCATAAAATAGTAATTTATATTACTATTGTTTTAAGCCAATTAGACTCATTTCCATCATTGGTATTCCTGACCTACGAACCATTAAAAATGCTTATAAAGTTTCCTATGCTGAAATACTAAAATTGAATTACCTTGACATTTCATAAGCAACAATAGAAAGAAATGTAATTTATCGAGATTGTGATTCAATAAATGTGAACAATAAATGTGATTGACAAGGAGAGAATGTATTTTTTTTTTCATTTTTAAAAAACAATATTAAACGAATCAGATCAAATAATATATTTGCTTACAGGTTCAACATCTAAGTATGTGCTATGTTCTTCTTCATTTGGATTTAAACCTTCAAAATGTTCCCCAATTTCAGGACTCGCGTGTAGAAAATGAGGAAGTGAAATGTACACAGGTCTTCCTGAAAACAAGTTTTAAGAGACAGTGGGGTAAATCATTTTCCTCATTTCACATACCACTCAGAAAAGCTTTCCTTGAAAATAAAGCTTTTTAAATTAAAATAATACTTAGTTGGGTTTGAATACTAAATGGGGGATGAAGGTGAGGGAGAATTATAACAACTGATCACTATTGTACAAAAATAAAATATAAATTCTATATCATATTACTAACCAGTCAGTTGATGTCTTTTTCATTCCTTAGATGGTAATTTTCAATATGTAAAGTTTAGCTGCTGAACATAAAGTTTCAACTATATATGTTCATGTTTCAGGCAGTAATGTGTCTTTGGACTGAGAATTAATTTAATTTAAAAGGTGTCTCTTCATTCACACCCACTCCAATATGAAGAAGGTGAGCAAAATAAGAGACTCCAAATTTCGTGTTTAAGTCAATTATTGTTTCAGAAACATACTGAAAATATATTTATTTACCATTTTCTAGGGAAGAAAAAGCTAGAAAAATAGCAGATGAATAATGCTCAAAGTATTCTGGGAATTATTTTCATTTTACCCTAAATCTATAAGGAGCACAGGGATTCTGCATAGCAAAGGAAACCATCAAAAAAAAAATGAAAAGGGCCGGTCCCGTGGCTTAGCGGTTAAGTGCGCGCGCTCCGCTACTGGCAGCCCGGGTTCGGATCCGGGCGTGCACCGACGCACCGCTTGTCCGGCCATGCTGAGGCCGCGTCCCACATACAGCAGCTAGAAGGATGTGCAGCTATGACATACAACTATCTACTGGGGCTTTGGGGGAAAAATAAATAAATAAAATCATTAAAAAAAAAAATGAAAAGGCTCCTATGGAATAGAAGAAAATATTTGCAAACCACATATCCAATATGTAGTTAATATCCAATTATGCAAGGATCTCATACAACTCAAAAAAACAAATAGCTAAAAAAACCCAAAACCAAATTAAAAAATGGGCAAAGGACCTAAATAGACATTTTCCAAAGTAGCACAGGGAAATATCAGTATTCCCTAATAATAACAAAGTTTTGCAACACTGAGACACAATTGGAATCTCAAACAATACAAAATCAAAACAAAAATTTCCTGACGCCACCCTTACTTTCTGCCCTTATTGCTTTCTTACTTTAAATTTTCGGTGGAAAGGGATCCTGGGTAAAGATTACATTTTAAAGAATACTGCAAATCACGTCATGGACCATGATACTGAGAACACTTACGCACCTTCTTTGCATTTAGCAATGTTTAGCACACCATATAATGTACAGTTTTTTGAGATAATTTGTTCTGTGCAGAAACAATGGTTGTCTGGATTTTGAAGTGGAGATGCAAAGGCCTTGGGGGGGAGAACAAATCTATACACAGGAATTCCTTTCAGATTAATGTCAGCTCCAAACACGGCGTAGACGGACCTAAACACAGGTAAGAAAGAGCTTCATTCCAGGAACTTGAACTACATTCTGGAGATCTTATTTTTAGATTTATATTCTTACTTTAACTTAGAAAAATTAAATATACTCCAATTAGAATTCTTGTTTAATTCTTAGGAAAAAAGTTCTTGTGAAAATTGAAGGCATGCCAGAACTGAATACCTGAGTATAAGCTGTTCTTCCTTTTGTTTTCAACATCTACTAAGAATAATTTTTGCTTGTGAACTACCATGGAATATTTATACTGAAGACATTTCTCATAGTTAATTTCCTCTATAGATTAAATATTTATGTGACTCCTTCAAATCCTTTACTTGTGCCCAGTTTAAATGAAATAAAAGTAAAATTTTATTCTTGCAAAACTTACTCATGGAGAGAAAGGCCACTCACTTGCTGGGGTGTGTGCATGTGCATGCTTGATATAGATCTCCTACACCTCCAGCATTTACCAAGTGTCCACCACAACCTAGGCAGTGTGCTGGGGCTTGACACATATTTGTTCTAATCCCCAGACAACCCTATATGAAGAAACACTGCTCTCTTCAATTTTATAGATAAGGAAAAGACTCAGAGATACCAAAAGGTTGCCCACAACCACACAGTCTTTAGGAACAGGGCTAGGATTCAAGCATACTGGTGCGGGCTCCAAAGCTTGTGTGTCTACTAGGCCCCATCAATTTGAAAAGATGCTGTAGTGGCAGCAGAGCACATTAATTAACCTAGTTCTGTGACAGTGGCATCATCTTCTCCGGACATCTTTAGAAAGACTGGGCATGCCCTTCTATACTTGACTGTTATTAAACATACTACTAGTTTAGTAAAATAGAAAAAAAATAGTTCTTGCTTAGAAATGACAAAGAAGAAAATGAATTGTATTATGCAAACTATCCTTCTACATCCTTCAATTTTTTTAGAGTTAATAAACACATTATGAATTCCATATTGTATTTATTCTTAATAAATCCAGTATAATTTCCCTAAGTGTATTTTATTTTTCTCAAATAACATTATTATTAAGTATGAGCTTCTTGGTCTGTGTTTTGTCACTTGGGGAGAAAAATTCTGACTCACAGAAATACATTGGTGTCTTTGTCTTACCTGCAAATGTCAGAGGAAAAGAATTGCAACACCCGGGTCTTCTCAACAAAAGGTGGAAACGAGGCTGCATCTGTTTAAAAACGAACCCAGTGGCAAGGGATTAGATGTCATGCGCGTCCTAGAAAAATCTAGAAATCTCTATTCCCACATGGTCAATAGAAATATAATGCAAACTGTATTGTGATTTTAAAATTCTTTGGCACCCACATTTTTAAAAAGTAAAAAGAAATGTGGGGCCAGCCTGGTGGCATAGCAGCTAAGTTCGCTCATTCCACTTTGGCGGCCAGGGGTTCGCCGGTTGTGATCCTGGGCACGGACCTACTCACCGCTCATCAAGCCATGCTGAGACGGCATGCCATATAGAAGAGCTACAACTATGATACACAACTATGTACTGGGGCTTGGGGAAGAAAAAAAAAAAAAGAAAAAAGAGGATGATTGGCAACAGATATTAGTGCAGGGCCAATCTTCCTCAAAAAAAAAAAAAAAGAAGAATTTAAAAAAAGTGCTTCTGGGGCCGGCCTGGTGGCTTAGCAGTTAAGTGCCAGCACTCGGCTACTGGTGGCCTGGGTTCGGATCGCAGGCGCACACCGACCCACCACTTGTTGGGCCATGCTGAGGTGGCATCCCACATACAGCAACTAGCAGGATGTGCAACTATAACGTATAACTATCTACTGGGGCTTTGGGGAGAAAAAGGGAAAAAAAAGGAGGAGGATTGGAAATGGATGTTAGCTCAGGGCCGGTCTTCCTCAGCAAAAAGAGGAGGATGATCTTCCTCACAACAACAACAACAAAAAAGTGCTTCTTTAAGAAAAAAAGAAACAGATATATTTTATTTAATCCAAAATATCCAAAATATCATCTAAACATATAATCAATGTAAAAATTAACAAAATCTCAAAATCCAGTGTGTATTTTATACTTACAGCACATTTCAATTTGTACTAGCCACATTTCAAGTGCTAAAGAGTGACATGTGGCTAGCAGCTACCATATTCAAAAGTCTGTATACTATACACATCCATTGGTACTTTCGTATTAAATTTTCCCACTTCTTAAAAATAAGTGAAGGTTTAAAAAAATAATGGCAAAATCACATTATTAAAACTGTGATTGTGTTTGTTTTCTGAAATCCACCCCATCAGCAGAGGGGCAATTTTCTTACCATAAAGTTCAGTCAGAATTCCTGTTAGGATCTTATTGTTCTTACTTTTGATAGAGATTCATTCATCTGAGCTAATGGCTGATTAAAATTTCTAAAATCATTTATGAAAATTCTCTGACAAAACAAAATTTCCTGAAAATGGTTTGAAAACATATCCATCAAACTAAAACTAATCCATCAAACTAAAAAGGGCACTTGTTGAGTTTATTAAATTTCTGCTGTGGTTATGATTCATGGCACACACTGGCTCTGTGAAGAAATAACTAGAAAACTCCTCCATTTGCCCCTCAAATGAGTATCACCAGAGGGACCACCACTGAATGTGTTTGTTCAAAATGGTAAGACCCATCCTTCAATTATGAATTCCAGGTTCTTTTTCTGGTAAGTGCCCCAACCTCGTGATCTCATTAAATTTCACTTAGACTCCTGTGATAAGTGAAATATAACAGAAGATCCCAGTGAACTTGACCCTGGCATTGAGAGAATTCGCTATTAAAGATTAGCTTAAACTCCCCAGATGGATCACTGAATGGGCATTGCCTACAACTGCTTTCCTGACACCTTAGCCATTAAAGAAAAAGAATACATTGAATGGCTTGAAAGAGTATTTTCTGAAACATCATTGAAGATTATGTCGTAATCAGACCAACAATTACCACGGGCCATGACCACTAGATAGCTGATATTAGCATCAAATATATATCAATATTCAATATATTGATCAAATATATATCAATATTTTCACTTAATGTCTCTTCAAACTTATTTGGAGAGGGTAGAGGAGGCACTTGAAGTCATGATGAAAACACATTGGAACATTTTCTGTCATAAGTCTCTTTTCTCTAGTGCCCTAACCAAGAATCTCTCTCACAGATCGCATCAGAGTCCCCTGCCCTGTCCAACGTACCTCTGTTCCTAGTTTATTTTACTGCTATTTTCCTCTTAGATACTTTTAACTTCATGCCCATGTATTTATATTATTGTCATTAATTAATCCTCTACCTGCTCTTTTAAAATTTCTCTACTTCTTAGCTTTGGACAGAATTGTTTAATGATTTTTTTTCTTAAATTCATAAAGAATCCTTTAGTATTTAGGAGAAGCACAGTATTTTTCTCTGAAGTATTATGCTTATGCAATTATTAGAGTTAGTCGTATCGGGACACTTGACAACTTATTTGGAGAAATGCTTTCCTTAGAAAGGAATTTCTTCACCCACTCCCATGGCTCAAAGCACTTCAAAGCAAACACAACAGTTTTTGCTGTTTTTTCCTATAACAGAGAGATAACAAAGTTAAATAAACATGCAAAACTCAACAATACCTTTGGAAAAGGAAACATCCCCTGTGTTTCCTTTTTATTGTCTTTTGCATAACTTTGCATTAACTTTCTTCATCTTTGTTGTGTTGTTTTCCTACAGGGCATTGCCCCACCAGCTTTGTAAACACCATGCTTCTGCCTCTGCTGCTTAGTCCTTGAAAGCTCACCTCTGACTTTGATTACCTCATGGTATTCGACTCCCACTGCTTTTTAAAATCTTAATTCTTAAACTAATAGGCATGTGTGTCCTTTCCTTTTCTTCAGGGAGAATAAGAAGTCAGATCTAACCATGCTGTAAGTTCCTAGTGCTTTCTTTTTTCCCCCATTCTAATTCAGAATGTCCATTTTGCATAAATTTTTTATAGTTAGTAGACATCTAACCTTGCTTTTTGTTGTTGTTCTTTTCTCTCTCATTCTGACCATCCTATTCAAAGTAGATCGCTCTGCCTTGCAATGTCACTGACCCTGCCTCAGCTTGAAACCCCACTTGGAAATATGTTTTATCTTGATTTTTTAATTCTTTCAATTTAAAATTTTTATCTGTACAGTATTTCAAAAGATGTGAATAGTAACTACTTCTCTAATTTTTTTTAACCCCTTACTTCCATTGCTAGGAAGGCACTTCATTAAGTAAAGTTTTTACAAAGCAAACGTTTTCCTAGTAATGCAGCAAAGGCTAATCCTTGATGGTTAATCTTCACCAATCCCGTCACATTAGACAAGTATTTACTAAGCCTGTATGTGAACAGAGACTCTGAACTATGTTGTGGGGGTACAACGATAGGCAAGTGCATACCCCCCACCTCAGAACACTGTAGGTATGGTGGTAGGTTTGTGGGAGAGAGGGAGGTGGTTCATTGGGATTATTACCACAAAACGGATGCCCTTACCTGTGCCATTAATCATGTCACAATAGCTTGACCAATAGGAGAGATTCCTTGGAAATAAAAAGAAAGAAAATGAAGAAATATTCTCAAGAGTGCCTTTCTCACATTACTTTGTCTATTATGATTCAATATTTCTGCTAAAATAATAAAGATTATACATGTCAAATGCTAAATTTAAGAAATGTTCTAAATCATTCGGTCTATATTTCATTTGAAGCTTTCATTCATCTTGCTGAGATAAATTAAGTGCCTGATACCATTAAGTGGCCAGATTATAAAAACAAAAACTGCCAAATGTTGTTAATTAGAAACAACTTGGGACAGACACAGTTCTTTGAGAAGAAAATTGAGAAACAGTTATCAGAAGTGTAGATCTCTACTTAGGAGAGAATTTTTTTCCAATGGGAGAAATGAATTATTTGGTAGTATGTTGAGTGTTCAAACTGAATAGGAGGAAAATATTAAGTAATTGATGGAAGCTCAGTATGAGGGAGAAGAGGAGAGCGGGGAGAAGGAAAGAAAGAGAAGCAGATGCTTGATCAATAGAGATTGGAAACATAGATAATTTATACATTTTCCCCCTTTTAACTCTTACATGAGCTGGCTTTAAAGTAGGACAAAGTTTATTAGTTTATACCCTGGTGTCTAGATAGTATATATGTATATATATCTGAAAGCAATATAAAACAATAGTAGTAATAGTTTCTCTGCATCTTCAGCCACTTTTTGGTGATGGAAAAACTGTTTTTCCCGTTCCTAACATACCATCCAATGAGATGTCAACACAAGCTGATGCTTCGTTCTTAAACAGAATAAGCTGTTCTTCACTCTCAGTGTTGCACTGATCAATTAAATTAATCTTATCATAATCTTAAACCGATGTGAAATTCTTACTCCAATTAGGAGCACTTAGCAATGCTCCTCAAAACCTCTCTATAATGTTGAAATAGAGGAAATGCTCATGTTTCTCATTATACAAATAGTGATGTGACTTCCCCTGAAATGAGCACTTAGAAGTGTTTGTTTTCCTCCACTAGACTTTTCTATAAAAATCTGTGTCTATGGACTCTGTAGAAAAAAAATTACTACACTAGTGAATATTTAACTGCTGTATACAATTTTAGATCGGGACTCAGTTGGAGGCAATGGTTACTTATATTAATACAAACATTTTATCTCTTCTGATTTTGATTATTCTTTTCCAGAAAATAACTGGTCTAAACCATATTTATTAACTTTGAGGAGAAGAAAAGGCAGCTTCCCTCCTGATATTTATTGGGATTCTTCTTATGGTACACCTATATTAAATTATGTATCCTCCAGATGAATAGGCAGGAGCTAGGAAAAGAAAGAAAATCATGGCCATATGAACATATCTCATTCTATTACTACTTCAAAGGGGGCATGCTATTTATTTTCAAGTTTAATATGTAAATTTTAGAACTGTACATGAAATACTAATTCCATTTTTTGCATTGATATAGGTTTAAAAAAGCTGAGTTATCAATATAGAAAATTATTTCAAGAAATTTTTGAAAGGGAAATCATGAAAGTGTTTGCCTGGATTCATTACACTTCCATCTTTATAAACACATTAAGTCATGTCACTAGAATGAAGAATTTTTATTTGACATGCTGAAATAAAAAAACAGTAAACTATATGTTTCTACCTGCTAGATGATCAGCTGATGTATTGATTTTCTTCCTTTTCATTTGTGGTTATCTAATTGTGCGGGTGCACTGTAATGCTGATTATGCAGCAGAGATGGAAACAATCCCCTTGGATTTCTTTATGCAGGAGAACCTGTGCATAAAGTAAACCAAACCCTAAAGCAGGGCTGATATTCAGTGGCCATGCACTGGTGTGACCAGTTGTCACAACTAAAGGGTTAACACCTGGCAGAACAAGAGATTCCAGGTCTGAGGTACAAGCAGGTCTGTTCCATAGGTTGGCGCCTGTGCCTTACCAGTTGTTGAATGAATACCACTCCTGCCTTAGGGTACCCTAGTAACACACATACACATACACATACACACACCCTTTACCTGGATACTTACTTGCTACCTTTATAAGTGTCAATTATGGCAACTTTGCTTATGTTGTCTTTTCCGGTGAAAACTTGATAAACTCCATCTGCAGTATTGTTGTACTGAAAAGATATGTACAAGAAAAAATGACTTCTAGAATAAGCCGTATCTTCTAAATTATTAAATATGTAATTAAATCACTTGCACACTTCTCAAACACTGGGTTTTCATAATTATTTTATATGGTTTGAAATATATATGCAATAAAGTTTTAAAATTATTAGTTGTTAACATTTTAAAAAGATAGACTATAACAGTGCCTAGAAATAAGTTCTAGAAGATGTAACAAAGGAAGAAAACAGGTATCAGAAGTTGAATGAGGCAATTCTGATCACTCCTATTATATTGAAATGAGAGAATATTGAACAAAATCTATGACAACAGGGGTAGATTTTTAGAGGTATTCTAAATGTTATGATCTTTAATAAGTGGTTACTGAAAATTAGGTATAAAAAAATTAAAAACAGAATTAGCCAAGAAAAGAGTTACAAATATTTGAGTTGAAAAATAATAACTGAATCTCTGCTTCTTTAGGGCTTTCTGCATTCATATTTAATTGAAAAATAACTAATCGTAAACACCGTCTACAAGTAAAATTACAACAATGGACTGGAGAATATGACTTATATTACATATAGTGTCAAGTGAAATTATAGTCAAAATTGCAATTCAATAGTCAGCTTGTCCTATTTATAATTCAAAACATTAAGCTACAACTAAGTACATCACCAAGTTCACATTTTCCTGAATCTCCAAACTGCCATGTCACGACATTTGTGGACCACTACAAGTTCTTATTAACAAACTCCACTAAAATACTACATTGATGATTTATCAATCTCGTTGGCTGCAAATTTAGGCTAACTTTTAAATTTACTTGGAAACAAATTTGTAAGGGGTTTAAAGAAGGAGGAATGATAGAATGAATCTATTTAACACAAATAAAAATTGGTATTAAACTTGATTTTTTGAGAAGGGAAATCAAAACCGAAAGTAGTGTTCTAGCCTTACTGGCTTACGACCTAATTTTAGACAAATTGTGTATTTATCAAAGAGTGGAAACCTGATTAAATGTCAGCTTCTTAAATTTAATTGTTAAATTCAGATAAGTAAATTTTCCCAACTAGGAAAGCTGAAGCCATGTGAGATAGGGACTTTTAAAAAATTAGTATATACCCAGATCAGAAAGAGGGTTAACACACTAAATTATAAAATTACGAATTGCCAATGCCATTATGTTTATCCAATTAAAGTATAACAATATCGACACTTATATTTGATACTCACAGGATAAAACACACCAACTGTGGTAGGCACAGGGTACGGAACCAAACTCAAGAATGGATCCTTATAGCCCCACAAAAGTTCTTTCAATGTTCTGGTTTGAAACATAGAAGATTTTGACTTTTTGATAAGTGAGTTGAGTATCACTTGAACAAATGGATTTTCATAGAGTTGAGCTGCAGCCTACAAAAAGAAAAAACAATCCCTGTTTAACACCAATTGCAATACCAAATTTTTAACAAATAAACTGAGTAAATACTAGAGTTAAGTGTAATCAAAAAATTTTTTAACTGTATCTTTAAAAATTACTGCCAGATCTTGCCAGAACTAAAAGTGTAATTTATCTAATCCCTAGATGATTACATTTCTCTGCCTCAGTATCCCTCACAAGAAGAAAACATTCAAAGTTAAGTCCAACTTTTTTTCAATGATACCCTTTAAGTGGTCTTCTAATTCAGTTGATTTGTACATGATTTTGTCGTCTTTCCAAATGACCATAACTCCATTTAAAATAATGACATAGGAACACATTTTTATAAAATGACAAATATTACCTAATGATATAGTTCTAATCATGAGATCAATCATAGTAGATTATAAAGTATTTCAAAACAAATAATTTTGTTGTTTATCTACTCACTGCTACAGCCAGATTGAGAACAGTGAAAGTGTCATTCTCTGTTCCAACTGATAATGAAGGTTCAAAGATAGCACCATTGGGCTGTACAAAAGAGACGGTGAGGTTCTCAAAGTCGTGGGTTATGTTTTCCTTGGCTAGATAACGAACTCTGAAAAATAGAAGTAAATAAAACTCAAAATAATTGTCTCAAGTGGACATTAGGTCTCAAATGCCATTCATTCATGCAACAAGTAATTTTTGAGTACATAGAATGTCAGAAATTATGCTAAACAATTGGAATAAAATGATAAATAAGCCAATGCTGGGTGTCTAGCAAATTAGAGAAGGGGGTCTTAAGTTTGCATAGCAGGGGAGATGTCATATATGTCATTATGGGAGGTTACACAGAGTCTGTGGGAAAACACAGAACAGATATCAATCCAGGCTTGGGATGGTCACGGCAGGCGTCAGGATCAAGACACATTTTGGTGGCAATTCCACATAAGTGGTCTGAATGACAACTAGAAGTTTAGTTAGGTGAACCAGGTAGAAAGTAGATGTATAAGATAAGAAGAAACAACACAGTGTATGTTTAGAAACGCAACTGGTTGAATTTGGTTGGATTACAGAGTGAAAGTAAGGAGAGTGGTGGAAAATAAAGCCCCTGAAATGAGCAAGATCTCAAATATAAAAGAGTTGCATTCCATACTCAAATGTGTAGCCTTTATCCTGAGGGTAAGGAGGGGACAGAGACAGAGAGGTTTAAGCAGAAGAACATTAACTGTTGTATATGAGAAAGAATGCTCAAAGTACATAGCCTATCCAGCACTGGCTTTTCCACATTTTCCAGTTCTTTAATGTGAATTAAAGATAACTAATGGAATATAATTCCCATTTTACAGACCAACTCCCCTCCACTTGTCCCTCGCATATTGAATACTTATTAGTTTTAAGCTCCTGGCTCTAACGCCACTAGGTTGCGAAAGTACCAAACTACTTTTTAGGAATGTGGTGAAGGGTGATGATTACAGGGAAAAATCTTTTGTGAGTACAAGATATTCACGGAGATGAAATCAGGTGTACACCGTTCATTGCACTATCATATATTTGAATGTCTATTATGTAAAGTGAGGAGATAACTAAGGCAAAAAGTGAAAAAACATGGGACTGAAATGTAAAAAAAATCCACACATTTCACAAGGGTATGATAAAAATGTAAATTCCTGTAGGGGAGGGACTCTGAGGGTTTTATACCCCAAGCCCAGGGCCTAACACGGTGAGTTCTCGATAAATGTTTTTTGAATGAATAAATTAGTTAATAGCCAACATTCTTTTAAAAGGGTATTCACACTCAGCTAAAAAGATTTTTTTAATATAATTTTATTAAAACTTTATTATTTATTCTTCTTGGAGTACTGTAGACATACAAAGAATATAAAAATCTGAAACAGCACACAGGACAGTCTATTATTAGTCAATTACTATTTCTCTCAGATAATTATATTTTAAAATTATATTACATGTTATTCACATTTAAAATTTAAGTATTTTAAATTTCAGGAACATTTGTGTATATATAAAATAATTGAAATAATAGCAAAATAATTGTGATCCAAATTCCAGAGCTTACTTAAGTGGTACTTACAACATTTTACCAGTAGATGGCACTCACTAAGAGAAAAATCCTTTAAACTGAGGCCTGTGTTTAGAATGTACTTTCTTTTTTTTTTTTTGTGAGGGAGATCAGCCCTGAGCTAACATCCGTGCTAATCCTCCTCTTTTTGCTGAGGAAGACCGGCTCTGAGCTAACATCTATTGCCAATCCTCCTCCTTTTTTTTCTTCCCCAAAGCCCCAGTAGATAGTTGTATGTCATAGTTGCACATCCTTCTAGTTGCTGTATGTGGGATGCGGCCTCAGCATGGCCGGAGAAGCGGTGCGTCGGTGTGCGCCCGGGACCAAACCCAGGCCGCCAGTAGCGGAGCGCACGCACTTAACCGCTAAGCCACGGGGCCTGCCCCTAGAATGTACTTTTAAAAAGACAACATAATCACTCAATTTTTTTGCTTAAAAATAAGAACGTACACAGGTTTTAGAAAGTGTTGATTAATAAGTTCAAAGGGAAGAATTTGCCTTAGATTTTTCCCAAGATTACTTTCTCTGTACTCCTGCCAAAGCAAAGTAACTTAAAAAAAAAAATAAGATTTCTGTTGGATCTGAGAATATTCTGAAGGAATTACTGAGTCTTCACAGAGATGGTGCAAGTTGGAATATATAGAATTAAGATCTCAATCCAGGCAATGTCACGCTTCGACCCATGTCATACCTTATCAATCACACTTCCACTGAACACAGTTTAGCAGCCATCAGCCAAATAAGCCTGTGATTCTGTTTGAGGAGGAACATCCTCCAACACTTCCAGCTTCCACTGGATTCAGGGTGTAATTCATGCGGAGGCAGGGTCACTTCAACTCATGGAAGATTCTCAAACTATTAACTTTTTCTGAAAGGTAACTAGCTGTTTCTCATTATCGAAGGCTTCTGAGCAGACACTAATGACTCCATTTTGGTGACATCATGAGACAAGGTGACCCCTAGTTGATCAGAAATCCCTTTAACATTGTTCTACAAATAGGACTTTATCATTTATAAACTTTAGCTGCAAATCCAACTTCTCATCTCCAACCCTCCCCTCGTTGCCTCTCCAAGTCAATCAGATATAACTAATCCATCCCCCTTTTGTTCCTTAGAGAGAGATGCTAAAGCCTCTAAGAATAAATATATGTTAGCTGTCACCCATCGGAGCAGGACTAGGACTAGGCTCAATATTATGTTTAGATTTCCCCATATCCTAAGTAATATCTTTACAAGTAAAAAAAATAAATAATCCCCCCAAACAAAAAATAAAACAGAAAACATGCTAAGTTCTCAAGTTCTAATTACTATTCTCTTTCCTCACATGTATTCAGTTCACTCCGGTCATGATTTTTAAACAATTATGCTTAGGTTCTCATGAGGTCACATGTGAATTCCAGATTTTCATAGGTGCACATCAGAGCTATGACAAGATATTCATATAGGCTTTTGATAATAACATAAGAACTATAAGACCATGAAAAATAAAAATATTTTCCAGGGTAAGATTATTTTTTTGCAACAACGAAGACCAAGTCTTCCTTGATGGGGGTGTGAGTAGTCATGACGTGGGCATAGACAGGAGACTTGGGGTCATTGCTGGGACAGAGAAGGCCCCAAGGCCCCCTGCAGCTTTTAGATCACGCTTGATGGCAGCAGGCACTACCTCTCACAAATTACCATTATTTCATTATATTTTGAGAGTGAGTTGTCAATCTAGAAGCATATTAATTCATGGAGAGGAAATAAATTATAGAATTCTAGACTAAAACAGATAAGATACTAAAACTATGAATCATAAGAAATTATTACAAAATGAAATTTTGTAATGAGAATTAATGACGGTGTATAACTAGTTGTAATTATCCTTGAGGGAAAATCATACATTTGTATAACAAAGGATACAGCAGGACTTACTATGTTCCCATATGGATGTCATAAATATAGTCCAAATCCTTGGTTAAAGTGTTTTTAGCACCTCAATCTCTCCTTTTCTTACTTTGATAGTTGGAAAAGACACATGATCTATACTTTAAATAGGAGAAAATGTATACAAAAATCTAGGAGTTACCAGTTCCTAGGTTTGTGTGAACATGGACCAATCACTTCACACACCTTGGTGCCAGTTTTTTGAAGTTACAAAATGAAAAGTTCTGGTTAATCATTTCCCCCCGGTTCTCATTGTCTAAGATTCTATTCAAAAGGGTATTAAACTATTAGGGTCTGTAGGATAAAGGTATAGCATATTCAGTCTCAGTATAGGAGAAAACACAAGAATGAAATTGCTGAATAGATATAAACACCCATATGACCTGGAGATTAGTTTGTAAAACTCACTGCTGAGTCCAGCCCAAGAGTCTCTGATTCATCTGGTCTGGGGTGTGGTCTGAGAATGTGCATTTCTACCAAGTTCCCAGGTGGTGCTGATGCTGCTGGTCCGGGAACCATACTTTGAGAACCACTGATACACGTATACATCCAATTTTAGGATTTTAAAATACTCTGGTATTTAAAATTCTGATAGATTTTTTTTTCTAGTCAGCATGGATATTTCAGAGTTGTTGAGTACAAATGCCACAAGTGTAAAAATCTGTAACTTAAATGTAGGGCAGTTATTTGATGCTGGTAAATTTATAATAAAATCTGTATTTCTTAGAATCATTAAATACTTAGATTAGGATTCTATATAGGCAGAAACAGAATATTTCAATATATATTACTGGCAAGAAAATAATACGTACATTTCAACACAATGGCATTTGTCAAGTGGAAGCCTTTCCAGAAATACCTACGGTCAAGGAAGGAGTGCCACTGATTTGTGGGGACTCACCCACCTGTACGTGTAGGGACCTCTTTGCTTGAGCTTAATTTTGCCACCATTGACTGTCACTTCCTGTGGATTTTGCACATCAAAGATCCAAAATTGTCTGTAAACTTCTGTTCCTGTTTTAACCCAATTCTTAAAAGCAATTGTACCTTCTTCAAGGACAACTTCCTATGAAAAAGAAAACAAGTTTGGGTTATTTCTCTGCAGTAAGTATGGGCACTTCTGGGAGTTTGTAACCTTTTGTTAGCCAATGAAAGGACCAAGCTAAGTACCTTGTTCATGAGAACCTTCACAACCTAGCTACGCACTTGCAACAGAAATGTTCTCAACAAATTATAGCAACCTCTTTTGGTTAACCTTTCACGAAGAGAATCAATGTGTAATAACGCAGACGTCTGCAGATTTTAAGGCCAACCACTGGCAAGCTTAGGGCGACCCTATGACAATATAACAACAGTTAGTGACACAATTTATTAAGCAAATTTTATTGAAGCTGTTCCAAAAAGTTCTTATCAGTGAACATTAACTTCTCTTCTGCCCTCAGTGAGATGGATTAATAATGCAAAACAGAAAAATCTAGTGGCAGTGGAAGCTTTCTCCTTTTCTTCCAAAGTTGCAGATAATCACTTAACGTTTATTAAATTAAGAAAACAAACACTTATGGATGAAAACACAAATTTTGACTTCTTCCCTTCAAAATCCTGCTCAATATGGCTTCCCTAACTCTCAAGATATTTGCAGCAACCCAATAGCACTTATTTCCAAGAATAGTACATATTTCCAAAAATCACTTGATTACGGCTGTTGCAGGACAACAGTACCCATCGACATGACTGGCAACTTGAGGGTAATTATTAAAATGTCCTCAACATCTTCCTACGCATGGAGTATGTAGACACGAAGGTCGAAAATATATTGTCCCATTTCTCAAGGATCTTATAAAGTACTAAGAGACAGAGTCATATATAGCTGATTTTAATCTACGAGTTAGATTCCTTTACCCTACCCCACCCTGACCAAGTATTTGTGAATACTTCTTTGAAAAGTATTTCACAGAATATTAGCCTAAAGAGACCCATGAATGTGGGAACAATTTGACCTACCTGTTTCCTTCACCTGGAAGTGTCAATGTCTAATTCATTATGTTACTACTTTTTAAATAAAAGGATGAAATAAGGAAGTTGTCCTATTATTCTTTTGTGGAATCCATTAAAAATTGTTGATGTCCCTTGTAGTGAAGATAAACAAGTAGAAAAAATACTAGCGACAGAATCAGAAAACCCTACATTAGAAAGCTGTTTCCTTGCTCTAGGAGCCGTGGGACTGAATAGAGAGTCACCAAATCCCTGGGGGCCAGTTTCGTTATCTGTAAAGTGAAGGCGTTATCACAGATGCTTTCCCAGTTTCTTTCCATGGCCATCACGCTCTGAGTGGGAAGTCTATGAAGATGTAGTAACCAGAGGAAAGAAAGGTGATTCTGTAGCAGACAGCATTTCCAATGAAATACCTTGGGAAGAATGCCCAGGAAAGAAAGCTCCAACCTGCCACAGTGTGTTAGAGGAAGAGGAAGACACGTATTTCACAGAAAGGAGCCTAAAGGGACCCAGGAATTCAGGGACAATCTGCCCTATTTGTTTCCGTCACCTGGAAGCATCAGTTCATAGAACGATGGATTGGGAAAGGACACCGAACACTCTCACGTTGTCTAGTGGAGCACTGAGGCTCTGAGGAAACAGGTGGCTGGCTCCAGGGTAACGCAGGCAGATAGCAGCAGCATCCTGATCAGAACTCCCGTCTCTGACCCTCAGACCAGTCCTCTTTTACACTATGCTATTACATCTTTTTTTTTCCTGTCACCTCTGTACTTAGCTGGTAGAAGTCAAATTAAATTTCATATCTTCGGGATACTTGACTTATTGCTTAATGCAGAGAATAAGAGAATTCCTTAGAGAAGAACAGAGCACCAAGCTAAAACACTGTTACAAAACTCTGTGCTGTTGCAACGCATTTACCCTGGCACGTTGGAGCCGCTAAAGTGATGTTAGAGCCTATTACTTTCTACAACCAATTGTCCTTGAAAAACTTGTTTATTTGCTCTTAAAAAGTCTTATTTCCGGGCCGGCCCCGTGGCGTAGCAGTTAAGTGCGCGCGCTCCGCTGCTGGCGGCCCGGGTTCGGATCCCGGGCGTGCACCGACGCACTGCTTGTCAGGCCATGCTGTGGCAGCGTCCCACATAAAGTGGAGGAAGATGGGCACGGATGTTAGCTCAGGGCCAGTCTTCCTCAGCAAAAAAAAAAAAAAAGTCTTATTTCCATACTAACAAGCCCAATATTAAGACAAAATCGCATATAGATAGTTAAAGTGTTATGTCTATTCTTCTAAATGTAAAGGCGTTTAATAGGATGCTAAAGCTGAAACCTGTATAGAAGCTGAACGCTACCCATTTCAAGAGACTTTATGAGGGGAAAACACACACCAACATACACACATACATGTGATTACTCTCACACTTTAATAATCTCAAGGAAAATACAATATCAATTGTTTATCATGTATTTCTCAAGGCACATTTTATTTCAGTTCTTAATGAAAGGAACTCAATAAATGCTTACAGAATTGAAAAAGGATTGTACTAGAATGTGCTTGGCAGGACAGAAAACCTCCTTACCTCTAATGTGTGTGCTTTTAATAGCGAAAGACTTTGTAAGTGTATCATGCCTTTCCTCTAAAGGCCATCAATCATTTTGCCTTATTTGTTGATCTGGAGATATTTTAAAAAATGAGAAAGTTGAAACACAGAGTTGACTTGTATGTGTTGAATAATAAACTGTTAGGGTCATCATCTAACCTCATCCATTTTTTTCAGAGGTAGAAATGGGTCCTGGAGAAAACAGATGCCCGATTCAATGTTTTATGACAATTTAGTAGTAGATAATGGAGAAATCAGGTCTTTTCACTCCAATCTTGTGTATCTTCTGTAACACCACAATTTGTTTAGAGACAAAGAGAAAAATACTGAAGCAGTCAAATAGGAATGCATTTCTTCTGATCCTAATGCTATTATATGTAGTATTAGAAAATTTTATAGCCACTTCTTGAGTACCAAGACTAAATGTCACAAGTTCCTCTAATTCTAAAAAGGAGCAAAAGATTTTATGTCCTTTGTGAATTTAAAAGGCCTTGATTTTAAATTGGATTTGGACTATCCAGCCTATTTTGCAAATCTTCCACTAAATTTGAAGTACAAAGCTGATAATTATGTGCACAGAAAAAGTAATATAATTTAAGATCCTCTCCCTTGGCTAATGTGTACCTCAGTATCTGTCCCTGACTTTAAGTATACAGACTATCCAGCCCCAGTAATGACTGGGTCCCAACCTGATGACTCTCACATGACATGGTCTCCAGCTGGGTTTAAAGCCATTGACCTTGAAACTTCTATTTTGCTACACTAATTCGAAAGCAGATATTTGTGAGAGTAATATCTTCTGTTCACCTCACTTGATTACTGCTGTTGCAGGACAACAGAACTCATCAACACGACTGGCAACTTGAGTGTAATTATTAAAATACCCTTGACATCTTCCTATGCATGGAGTATGTAGAGTACGAACGTAGAAAATATATTGTCCCATTTCTCAAGGATCTGATAAAGTACTACGAGACAGAATCATATATAGCAGATTTTAATCTATGAGTTAGAGTCCCTTATCCTACCCTACCCTGACCAAGTATAGAGGCTTCCTCTCTCAAAGCTTAGAGTGGCATGGTTAACAATGAAACTAGATGCTATGAATTTGATCCTCAGCTTGGTCACGTGCTAACCATTTAATCTTAGGCAGGTTATTTAATTTCTTTGTACCTCAGTTGCCTTATCTGTAAAATGGGGATAATATTAATAACATTAGGTTGAACCAAATGAAATTAGTATTTTTGAAAGTCAACGGGCCGGCCCCGTGGCTTAGCAGTTAAGTGCGCATGCTCCGCTGCTGGCGGCCCAGGTTCGGATCCCGGGCATGCACCGACGCACCGCTTCTCCGGCCATGCCGAGGCCGCGTCCCACATACAGCAGCTGGGAGGATGTGCAGCTATGACATACTATCTACTGGGGCTTTGGGGGAAAAATAAATAAATAAATAAAATTATTAAAAAAAAAAAGAAAGTCAAAATAAGTTGAATATGGTTTAATTAAATATTTATCCTCACAGGTGGTTATAAGGATTAATAAATGTGAACACTTAGAACAGTGTTAGCACATAGCAAGCATTCAATGAATGTTAACTATTATTATTATACAAATCCTATCCACCCTTTAGAGGGAGAATTCTAATATCATTTCCCCCCCAGACTGCTTTAACTGCTTCATTCATAGTATTGCTGTCTAATTCAGTCATGCGGCAATAACTCATGTAATATCCTGTGACATTTCTTTTTCTGCTATTTAATCACTTTTACACCATATCTCTCCAGTGAAATCAGAACTTCCTTAAAAAGCAGAAACATACTGAAAGTAGTCTTCATTCTCCCTGCTCACTACCACAACTTGTTCTATTTAGGACCAGAAAAAGTGGCTTTAGGCTCAGATTATCAAGTCATTGATTAAAATCCAGAATTAAATTTGCTGAAACAGATTGGATTTAATATGTTTCTGAAACTCAGGAAATTAGCCTCTAAGAATTAATGTAAGAACCTGAAATGGGATATTTGTATTTGGCATGAAAAGTAAACTATGTTGATATTAAATTGGGCTGGAGAAAGAAAATTACACAGGCTTACCTGCTATTTCTTGAAACATTGTTTTTAAGTGATTTTATTATTGGAGTTAATATGCAAATATGTTATTTATTTAATATAATTTATTTTAAAACTTCTATTTTAACTTAAAATTTGTTTTGGATTGTTTCATGTTCTCATATATTGTCATTAAATTTAAAACAAATTCTACCATCTTTAACAACTAATACTTCAGGCATTTCTTTTTGAGCTTTTTAGAGACTATAAAAATGTATAAATTATTTTATCATATCTGGAAATATTATAAACATGTATTATGAAATTAATATAACTATAAATTAATTTATATTATTAAAATATGGACTATTGATTCAAAAGTCTAGTCATTTTAAAAAACATAAATAATTATTATTTCAATTTATTTTATCTGAAAG